CCTGGAGTTTTTGCTGCACTCTGCACAAACAGGAGTGTTTGTGATTATCACTCTGCCCGACGCTTTTCTCCACTAGTAAAGAAATAAAGGTACACTTGCAATTTTTGTAATATTCCTTACAGGGCTGCAGAAAGACAGAACTGCAGTAAAGTGCTTTCATTCTTCATAACTTAATGGCAGCTTATATTACTTTTCCATGGGATAACATGGAAAATATTTTATAATGCTACATACTGCTTGAATAATATAAGTTGCAAAGGATGCATTTTTGTGATTGCATATCTTGGAATTTAAGTAAGGTTTACCTTTGAATTGGCTTGTATAAATAAGATTATGCTGAAAGGACAAAACATTTAGTGATCGCAGGTTACCTAATCCAATTTAGAATTCCTAAATATTTCTATCAAATTATAAAGGCAAATAGTGATTAACTACTATTGTAAAGAGTGTAGTGTAAGTTGGTAATCAAGAAATAAATTGTAAGCTGAAGAAAAAAAAAGATGTTTCATTACAGTATTTTGATGTAATACTGGATGAAAGTAAAATATTACAGAAAATTAAACATTTTCTTTTACTGTAGGTCTAGACTGAGACTACTGTATAGAAACTAAATCTGTCAGAAGAAGACATAATTTGAGATGTATGTTTGACTAAAAGTGTAACTTAAAAAATATGTCAAAGTTACTGCGGATGCTCCGTTAGGTTGCCGTCTAATTCAGGGATTCTTTTCACAGGTTCATTGTTAAGATCAGATCAGATCAGTGGGAACCAGGTACCACTTTTTCAGTGGTGGCTTCAGAATCACAGAACTTTCAAGGAGTTCTTGTTTCATTTAGATGTGCTATTAAACCATTTCTTGTTCCATAAAGCTTTCTGTCTACTGACTTCCTAGTGCTTTAAAACCATTTTGCTGAGGCAATACTTCATAAGGTTTAATTGCTTTTTACTGTTTTTGAATCTAATATTGTAAAATACCTTGGAAAGCATCACTAAGGATGAAGCATTCATAGAATACAGTAAACCGTGAGTGAAATTTTTCTGTTCACAGAAGCCGTTTCCATTGCCTACAGGTGCCTTAAAACAGCTCTATAGCAGCTTTTGAGGGTGTATTCTGTCATATGTGGGAGTTCACCTGCTCAGTGAATGCATTTAATATATTTTACTGCTTTATTTATATAATCCTTTATAATTGCGTATCTCCTAATTATTTGCTGAGCTAATAATTTTATAATGGCAGACTGTATGTATCTACTGCCAGAATAGATAGAGGTAATTTTGAACTGTCATATGGTGCAGCATATGACAACTATTTAATTGGTTTTTGTATAATTTTTCAGAGCAAACAAGAGCTGCATCATTACCAGAAAAAAAAAATTCTGGCTCAGCAGTAACTAAACCTCAGGTGGTTGTGGCTCCAGTGGTAATGTCAAAGCTGTCAGTAAATGCACCTGAATTTTACCCATCAGGATATACCCCAAATCATACTGTAAGTATTAAGAGTTTCTCTCCGCCTTCCACATCTAAATAAGTGAAATTTATAAATGTATTTATTAGATTTTTTTAGGAGATGCATTTGCTCTTAAAAGACCAAATATTTCACTCCAAAATGTTGTTTTGTGATATAGAAATATTTAAAAACTAAGATGTTTAAAATTAATAAATGTTATTCCATTAGACACTTGAATGCTAAACTAAAAATATAGAGACATTTTAATTATAAATTAATGTTAATGAAACAATTCAAAGTGTTAATTGTTTTTAGGAATCTTCTTTAGAAGATGGCTGTGATGGATATCCAACTTCAACAGAATACGTGCAGGATTTTCTAAATCATCTTGCAGAGCAGCCGGCCTGTTTTGAAACTGAAATAGCACATTTTGCGGAAACTGTGAATGGCTGCGTGACTACAGATGAAGCTTTACAAGAACTTGTTGAACTCATATATCAACAGGTAACGTGCTGGGTGACTACAGGTAGAACTCAACTATGACCATTCGTTCAGCGACTGTTCAAAGTTATGAACTTGCTGAAAAAAGTGGCGACTGGTGCCTGAAGTTACGGTGGTTGCAGCACCCCCACAGCCACATGATCAAAATAGGCAGCCTACCAGCACTTATGACCGCAGGGGCACTTCGGCCCCCCCTCCCCATCTAATGCCCTGTTGGCCCACTGCTGCCCTGCACTCTGCCACCACAGCTGACCTTCGCCATCTTCTTGCTCCAAAAAGCCCCTTTGCAAAATGCTCATGGGTGGAGCTGGGCTGGGCTTCTGCTTTACGCTGGGGGGGAGGGAAGCCCCCCTTTCTTCCCTCCCCCCTCTTTTTTTTTTTCCTTCCCCCATGGGTAGACTAGCACGCTCCTGGGAACTTTAGTCCTCTGGCTGCAATAGGCAGATAGACTGGTCCCTCATGGCCCCCTTTGATCCTCTCTCTTCTGTTTCTTGTGAATAGAGCAGTCTTCCTTCTTGGGGAGGTGCATAGACCAGTCCTTCCTTCAGCTGCCAGGTAGACTAAGACTTAACCCTCTGGAGCTAAAGTTTTTTGGCATGCCACCAAAAAAGCAAAAGCCAAAAGCAGCACCTGAACAGCAGCATGCCAGAATGCCCCTTTGGAAAAAGCTCCTGGGTGGGGCAGGGCTTTTGGCTTTTTTTATTTTTACTTTTTTTTCACAGCGCAAAGCAAAAGCCCTGCCTCACCCAGGAGCTTTTTGCAAAGGGGCATTTTGCAGAGGGGCTTTTTGGAGCAAGAAGACAGGAAAGGTCAGCTGGGATGGTGGAGCATAGGGTGGCAGGGGTCTCGGAGTGCAGGATGGGGAGGGCGACTAGGCCTGGGCTGGGGCAGCTGGGACTTCCTGGGGCGGGGCAAGCAACCCCAGAGCTGCACGGTTCTGCGGTTGCTGGTTGCCCCACAAGGCAGGGTACAGGATGGCCAGAAGGGCAGAGATGGGAGAGATAGGCAGGTAGGGGGAGTTGGAGGCAGTGCTTTACCTTACTGAGGCTCAGGGATGGGAGGGACCAAGCCCGGAATGGTTTGGATTAGGGTGGGTCACTAAGTGATGCAGTCACGTGACATCTTGCTTTATAAACATACCACTTTGCGATGGAAATTCTGATCCCAATTGTGGTTGTAAGTCGGGGACTACCTGTATAACATTAGAAATTTGTATAAATAATAGCAAGGGAACACATGGCACAGGACCAAGAGGAATTGATTGTCTCCTGTTTCTGCCCATCCAACATGCTCCAACAGAGTGGACATGCTCCAGGTCACTTCCTTGAAACAGTGTCATCTCATGGGACCTTGGAGGTGTGCCTTCTCTGCTTTGGCGCCTGCCCTGTGGAATGATTTCCCCCCGAGATTCAACTAGCCCCAATCCTGCTAGGCTTTAGGAAAACTTTGAAGACCTGGGTTTTCCCTCAGGCATTAGGGTAGGATGGTAGATGAGTTCATCTTGCAAGGTATAACAGGTGTGTGCCAACTATGTGACTTGTTCTTGTAATTTCAGGTTTTTAATGGAGTCTATTATAATTTTGGGGTTTATTGCTGTACACCACTGAGAGTCCCATTTTTGTAAGTTGGGTAGCCATATAAATCTTTAAAATAAATAAAAAGTAATGCAATAAAACCTTTACATCAAATAACTAAAAGCTTAGAGTAACTGCAGTTTTTGAGATATGGAAGTTAATTGTATGCATTTATAATAAAGCTTAGCCATGCAATATAAAATAATAACAGAAGGAAGTATTCCTTTGAATATTTAGCAACAAAATAATTGTGTACTTTTTCTGTTTCAATACCTGATGGAAGAATTCTACAACCTAACGTAACAGAAGTATTTACAAAAAGATTTTTGTTAAAGAAAATAAATGGAAAGAGTGTGTAATAAACTTCTGGGCACTATTTTTAGAGGAAAATCATCACAGAATCGGCTGTTTTTGATTAGAATCTTACCAATAGGGACATTCTAGTATATAAAGCATAATTAATAGGAACTTATGGGGGAAATGGCCATATAGTTTGCAAATTATTGATTTTAAAGGAAACTACAGCTGAAAGCTCTCACATGCATATTCTGGATGTCAAGAAAATGGATTACAATAGAGTAATAATAGCATTTTATTGCAGGAGAAGCTAATGTGAAAATAGAACTTTTGAGTGGGAAATCCTAAAATTTGAGTTATTGAAACAAAATTGCAAACAGTTCCAGCAGAAAAAATGAGAGAGAGTTGAAGAAATTGAAGTGCTCAGAACGTATTTTACAGAATCTGAAAATCAGAAGGACACATATTTAAAAGGAATGGGTCATCAAGAAAGAATGCATAAAGATAGTCCAAATTTATAGAGATGGTGTCAGGAAGACTAAAGCACAGAAATCATCTGAATTTAGTGAAGGATGCTAAGAATAATAAAATGGGCTTCTGTAGATATGTTCAAAATAAATGGAGGAGAAAAGAAAACAATATACCATCCCCTCAGTGAAGATGACAAAGGGGACATAAGTAGCAGAGAAATAGCAAAACTATTCAGCATCTATTTTGTCTTGGTCTTCTTGGAAAAGAGGATGTGGATTCTACTAGGCAATTGTAAAGAGCAGATAAAAGATGCAAATATTCTAGTTTGAGTTAAGGGAATGCCTGTTGGCTCTGAATTGAGTTCAATTTTTTAGGCCAGGTGGATTGCATCTTAGGGTTGTAAAATAGCTAGATGGTGGCCTGACCAAACCTCTCGCTATTATCTTTGAGAAATTCTGAAGAATGGACGAGGTGCCAGATGACTGGAAGGACATGCAATGTCTGTTTTCGAAAAGGAGGATGCAAGTAACTATAGACCAATATCTCTGACATCAATATCTGGGAAGATTCTAATACAGATTCTAAATCAGTCTGTTAGTGTCTTGAAAACAATGCAATTATTGCCAGAAGTCAGAATAGATTTGTCAAGACAAATTTGCTAGGCAAATCTGTTTTTGGAGGTGGGTGAATAACTTCTTAGTAGATGGCAGAAATGGAATGGGCATAATGCATCAGGACTTCAGCTAAGCATTTGACAAAATATCCCACGATATTCTGATTGGCAAGCTAGTTGAATATGGGCTGGATGGTATGTTTATTAGGTGGATCCTTTGGTGACTAGGAAGCCTTACAAAGAGTGTTGATCATTGTTCTCAGAGAGTACTGTATTTTTCAAATGGAAGTGCCGTAGAGTTTGGTCATTAGATAAATATATTCCCTAATGGCTTAGATGAAGAAGGGGAGGGAATTTTTCTCAGATTTGCAAATAGCACAAAAGTTAGGAAAGCTAAAACCCCAGAAGGTGGAAAAAAATACAAACTCATCTTGATAGATCAGTGTCAGGATTGAATTTAGGAAGATGAGAAAAGGGAAAGGACAGCTACCAGTTCTTTTCCATGAAAGGGCAGAAGAAAGAAACCCAGGATTTAATCCAGCATTATGTCTCTGTATATGACTAGAATCTTCAGCTTGGTGGAATGCTGTGACTGCAATAATGGAATTTTACTTATTTAAATCAGGTCCTAGATTTCCTGAGAATGTGCCAAATTCCAGAGAAAATTATTGCTAGTGTCTGAGGCAATGTTGAGATGTAGAGAAATGAGCTGAAAAGAAAAAACTAAATTCTATAGAGATGCAAAGTACTGTACTTTGCCAAGGAAAAAGAACAGAAGCATCAACAGTAATATAGTTTCCAATCATACAAAATAATCATTTCACACTATTCTCCAGTGGTCATGACTCATTTTGAATAGTCTGTCCAGTTCTGGGCTCCAGACTTTTAAGAAAAATTTGAACAAACCTAAAACTGGTGAAAATAAAAGTAGTGAAAATGATCAAGGTGTGTTACACAGCAGGCAACAAAAACCTGTTCTCTGTCACCCCTGAGTGCAAGGCATGGAATAATGGTCATATGTTAAAAGAAGACAGGTTCTGATTGAATGTTAGGAAACAGTTTGACCAGAACAGATTATCTAGGGAGACTTAAGCTCCTTTCTCTGTATATGATCAGACAGAATTTAGGCAGCCATCTGTCAGGGATGCTTTAATTTGGATTCCTGACCTAAGCAGTGGGTTGTACTCAGTAGCTTAAATGCTGCTTTGAACCTTGTTCCTGTGAGAGAAGTAAAGGTAAGAGTTGGTAGGTACCAGTTCAGTACAAATTTATGTAAAACATCTTAGATGTGTAACAGAGAGTAATAGGTTGGTTTGCTTACAATGCTTTCATAATGAAATAGGATGCTTTAGGACAGTCAATCTTGGTTTCTTGATTTGGCATCTCTTATAATGGAAAAAAACCCCACTTGTACCCATTAATGTTGTCTCATTATCCATATAATCATACCAGAAATCCACTCAGTTTTTTTATGGATAAATCTTGAAATAGTATCCTAAGCATGAAATCTCTTTATCCTTTTATGACACTATACAAATACAGACAGTCCCCTACTTATGAACAGGTTACATTCCGAGAGGCTGTAAGTCCATTTTGTTTGTAAGTCCAACAAGCAAAAAAAACATGCACAGTTCATACTGTACATAAGCGGCAGCATTGACGTAGGCGCTTGTGATGACGTAGGCGCTTGTGATGATGTAGGCGCTTGCGGTGATGGCGTAGGCGTCTGCGGAGATGGTGTAGGCGTCTGCGGAGATGGTGTAGGCTTGTCCTCTGTACTTTTTTCCACCTTCCTGAAAAAGTGGCCCAGTGAACTTTGGGTGGTAGTCTTCCTCTTCTCATAAATGACGCTGTAGCACTGTATTGCATCATGGACAGCTGCAGACACCTTGGAGAAGCGCTCCACATTAGGGCCCTGCATCTCAAACAGCAGTAGCTCTTTCTCGGTCAAGCTGAACCCTTCTGCCACCAGCTTGGTCTGGAACTGCTTCAATGGTTCGATCTCTTCCTCTTGTTTTTGCTGCTCCTCCAATTCCATGAGGTCTTCATTGGAGAGGTCTTCTGTCTCTGCAGCTAGCAGCTCGTGAAAGTCCCCCTCCCCCAGGTCAAGCTGAAGCTCCTTGCTGAGGGCAACCAAGTTGCTGATGACAGCTTGCAACTCCCTTTCTGCCACCTCAAGCCTGTGAGAGTCTTGAACGAATTGAGGGCACAGATGTTTCCACACCCTGTTCATGTTCGCAGGGGTAACCTCACGCCAGGCTGCATCGATGTTCTTGATTACCTTGTAGATGTCGTAGGACTTCCAAAAGTAGCATAAGGTCATCTGTGAGTCCACTTCAGTTGCCTGGACTGTCTGCCTAAACGCACGCTGAAGATAGTATTTTTTGAACGTTGCTATCACTCCTTGGTCCATTGGCTGCAGGAGGGAGGTGGTGCTGGGAGGCAGATACACAACCTTCACGTTTGGATGGAAATCGTCCAAGTAAGGAGGATGATCCAGGGTATTATATCCAGGTCCAATATCAGCAGAATCTTGAACTCAGTGTTTTTTGCATGGCAGTACCTCTCCACTTCCAGGATGAAATAGTGGAAAAACCAGTCCTCAAAGATGACAAGGGTGACCCAAGCTTTCTTGTTAGCCTTCTACACACAGGAAGTGAGCTTTCTGAGATGTTCTTGAGAGCTCATGGGTTCTCAGAGTGGTAAACTAGCAGCAGTTTTAGGCTCAGGTCACCAGAAGCATTGCCACTTAGCAGCACAGTTAGCCTATCCTTCACAGCGTTGAAGCCTGGCATGGCCTTCTCCTCCTTGCTGATGTATGTTCTGTCCAGCATTTTCTTCTAATAAAACCCCATTTCATCCACATTGAATATTTGCTGGGGCAAATGTCCTCGAGGGTTTCCGGGAATTCCTTGGCTGCAGCCTCGCCTGTGCTTGCTGCCTCACCACTAACTTTCACATTGTGAGGATTCATACGAGCCTTAAAGCGGTGGAACCACCCATGGCTTGCAGCAAACACCTCTTCAGCAGCACCTTCACCAGTCTTCTGTTGTAAGTCATGGAATGAGCTCTTAGTTGTCTCCTGGATCATCATTAGGCTAAGCGGCACACATCACTGATGCTGGTCTTCGATCCACATGCTGAGCAGCGCCTCCATCTCTTCCATTACTTTTCCTCTCCTCTTGCATATTATTATGGATTGTATAGGCACTGAACTTTTCACATGTTCCATGATCTTGTCTTTGTTCCTAATGATTGTTCCGATAGTGGAACAATTCATGCTGTAGGAACGTGCCACTTTTGCCATCTTCTCCCCCCCCCCCATTTTCTTCAGTATCTCCATCTTCATGAGCATCGTAATGGATTGCCGCTTCTTCGCACAACCAGCCTCCCCTTCAGGACTCTTGGCTTAATTGCTGACATTTGCAGTTAAGCAATTTGCAGTCGCCACACACCAAACACAACTGACCATGCAAGAAGTCAGGACCAGAAGTCAGCACTGGAAGTCAGGAGATGGTAGGAAGGGGTTAGTTTTCAGCGTGCTTTCTCCCAATTCCCGGCCCGACTTCCAGGTCCAGCTTGTTCGTATCAGCCGAAGTTTGCAACTTGAAAGTTGTATGTAGGGGACCTTCTGTATGTTTATCTTATATATGTATATCATTTAATAAATTGGTTTTTTAATCCTGGGAAAACTGCTGCTGCATAAATGTAGCTAGATAACACTGGAAGAGAGTAGTTGTAGAAAAACACTTGAATACCAAAGTTGAACTAGATATTTTGAAAATGAGGGCAAAGAATATGAATTGAGAACATGAATCCATTAGGGATCTCGTTTGAGATTGCAAAGCAGCATGTGTTGGTAAATATTCTGTTGTGAGTTATATTAAATGCATTTAGTTTCTGTTTCCTTTCAGCGTGGGTTTTAATTGTTCTTTGTTAAAGGAAAGTGAAAGTAGCTAGGGCAATTCCATTTGTTAACTTTTGTAAAAAAAAAAATTGACAAATTTCAGGGAAAGGCAGCTGGTCGTGTATCTGAAAAAAATGAAATGGTTCAAGAATTCATAATGCTGAACACAGCTGATTAGAATTCATATGCTCTTTATGTGTATGTTGGATAATGTGTCTTCACAATTGCACCAAGGGAAAGATCACCCGATGGTGGTCTTAGACATGTAATGTACCTTTGTGTGTGGTGTGTATATGTGTGTGTGTGTGTGCATGCGAGCACACCTTCAAGTCACTCTTGACTCCTGGCAGCTGCCTGGACAAGTCCTTGCAGTTTTCTTGGCAGAAGTGGTTTGCCATTGCCTGCTTCCTAAAGCTCCGAGGCAGTGACTGACCCAAGGTCACCCAACTAGCTTTGTGCCTAAAGCAGGACTAGAACTCATGGTCTCCTGGTTTCTAGCCTGGTGCCTTAACCATCCTACCAAATTGGGTCTCATAAAGAATGAACTGGGGGAGTTCATGTGTGTTTAATGTCAGAGTAGTGCCATATGCCAGGCTACGAGTGGTGCCGGAAGAAAAACAACTTGGACTTTGATTTTGTACTATCCACAGATTATACTATGTACAATTATATATACAAGCTAATTCTTAGTGTGAGGGGTTGCCTAACTTCTAAGCAATCTCTTGTTCTTTTCTCTTAATGAGAGGGTAAAAACTCCTAAATCTGAGAAACTCTTCTAAGTCCCACCCTCAGAATTTAATTCTGAAATCAAATATAACCTGAATGTTCCCTCAATGTTTATCCAGTAAGCCAATTTTTATTGTTTTGCTAATCTCCATATTCTGCCATTTGTTCTGTCTATTGTACACTGTTTGCTGGTTTAGGTTTTCTGGAGTTTGTGGTATAAAATTAAAAAATAAGGACTGTGTACTATTGAATTTCAGCAAAAATCCAAAGTGGGAGATTCCCCACTTGAAATTCCCAAGGCGGTATTCAGAATATTACCTATATTTGAAATAAGTAGAAAACAAATACAACTACCACAGAACTTTTGAAAATGTCTAATTCTGATTGTTCTTCTGTTTGGAAGGCTACATCTGTCCCCAATTTTTCCTATATGGGGGCAAGGCTGTGCAATTATCTTTCTCATCATCTCACCATTAATCCACAAAGTGGCAACTTCAGACAATTACTGCTTCACAGGTCAGTGCATATATATATGTTCAAGAAACTCCTGATTCAATATTTCCCAGCAAGTTTTCAGAACAGTTTTATTCCAAAATTAATTCTCTGTACATTGCTACCTGCTTTAATTCATTAGATTCTTGTTTCAGATTGAAATGGAAGTTTGCAGATTTTATAGTATTGAGAGAGAAGCTGCCATTGACATGAGACAAGATTATCAACCTTGATTTATTCTGTGTGTGTTCTACATTGGAGCTCTGCACACTTTGAAAATGATTCAGAGGTAGTGCTTCAGACTACATGCTAGCACAACACCTTTCTACTATTCATTAAAGCAGCCCATTTTTTTCCAGACTTTCACTCAAGCATGAAGTTGTTGTTACTTTAAGATATTTGTTATTAATGGAACAGTTTAAAGCAGCAGTGTCTGTTTTCCAGGCTCATGTGAAAAGCTGAAAAAAATAGGATTTGTAATATGTTAGATTAGTGTTTCTCAGGATTGTTTTTCAACTTCTAAAATCATTTCTCTTTTTCACAAAAATGAATAACACTTTAAACTTGCTTCTCCCAATAATTGTACTTGAAATTTCAAAGTGAATAAAATACCTTAACTAAAAACAAATCAAACCATCTGTAAATTTAGGGGGAAAATCTTCAGATTTTGTCATAGCAGACATTATTTGTTTCAGTTGTCATTGTAAGCATTGAGGAGGTTTGCATGCCGCAGATTTGAATTTTGAGCAGTGTGGAAGAAAGAGCAGAGCACAGGAGACTGAGACTTTGAATGTCAAACCTTTTATGCTGTTTTGTTTTTATATTCACAAATGCAGAGTAAACAAGCTTTGCAAATGAATATTGATGCAAGTATGATGATACTCAGAGCCTGTTTTCTTCTTCTAGAATAAACAGATTCAGATAAACTAGCTGAAGCTCCTTTTTTCCCATTTGAGGTCAAGAATCTTGCCTTTGAGGGCTTCAGCAAGTCAAGAAAATGAACCTTGAGTTCATCTATAAACATTTATTTACTTATTTCAATTTTGAGGCTGCTCGATTCTATCGCAACTCTGGGCAGCTTACAGATAAAAAAATTAAAACAAAGTATATCAAGAAAAAAAAAGATAAGTGACTAGAAGACAGAACCAAAAAGGCTCAGCCGTCATCCTAACCCAACACCTGTGAGAACAACCAGATTTTTAGAGGTTTGCAGAAAGTCAAAAGGGTGGGAGCAGTACGAATCTAGGGGGTGATATCGTTCCACAGGGCAGGAGCCATCACTGAGAAGGCCCTTCAGTTATGTCAGATTATAATGAACAGTGATGGTGGCATTTGTCCCTTGAAGCTTCAGAAACAGAGTATTCAAAGCTTCAAATACATTGCCACTTATGACAACTTATTGTTTTGAAAGTTTAAAGCGCTTGGATTTTTAATGATACTCCAAAACTCGGATAACTTTCTTCAACTCATATATTTGTCCAAACAAATTTCTCTTTGATAACTACTGGGCTTCAGTATGGAACAGAAGAACATTGTGCTTGGGTCCCAATTTTCATAAAGGAAGGGAAATAATCTATATTATAGCCCACTATTTTTCAGTTCTTAGTATTACGGCTGAGGACTGGGGTTTGGAAGCCAGCACTTGGCAGTAAATGACACAGTCCATTCTAAAGTCAGAGTTTGAAAGTTTTGTTTTGTTTTGTTTTGTTTTGTTTTTTTCTTTTTCTTTTTTGTTATTTGCAAGAAATCCTGATTGTGAACCCAGCATTTCTGGGGTCCAACTAATTTTGTCCAGTTCTGCTCATTTGTTTTGAAAAATTTCAATACATCTTTCAAGGTTATCAACAGATTTAATACGTAGTGGCCTTCAGGACATGAGAAAATGTTTCTTCTTCTGTGTTATATTTAGCTACATACCATACATGGACAAGTTGAGTACATTTTTTTTATCAGTTGATTTTATATAACTGGCAGCAAAAAGGCAGTGATTTAATCTTTTCCCAAACTTGATGTTTGATATCCTCAGCTAAATCATAATTTCAACACCTGACCATGGAAAGGGAATTTCTCAGTTTCCTCTGCAAGCAAAATTCTGGCAGTAGTCAGAATTCAAATCTTCAGGAGTTTTTCTCTAATTGTGTGATGTATTCTTTCCTCTGCAATGAGAAGGGCTATTTCAAAGTTTCCATGTTCCTTGGATAAAATATTTTAATAGTGTTCATTTCCATGTGCATTTTTTTTAGTTCTTTACTGCAGTATTAATATACCCTAAAAGAAAAATAGCAAGTAAAACCAAAAAAAAGTTGAAAAATATTCAGACATGCATATTTAATTCCAGACTATGTGCTCTATACATACTCTATTTTATCATATATTTTTGTACTAAAATATCAATTTTTATTTTGCATAAGTGAGAGAACCTACTGCAATACTGGAGGGTTTTTTTCCTGTCCATTCCAGTGCAGGCGAGGCAGCAATCAGTTTTCTGTTCTCTCTTAGGAGAAGTTTCTGATGAGGTCTGGGGTGGGCCTCTAATGTAAGATCAGCCACAGAGATTGGAACAAGCTGCCTGGGAGAAGGGGAAAAAGGAAGAGATTCTTTAGAATCCTGATATACCCTGGATGAAAGTCATACCAGATATTCTGGTGTGAAATGTTGGTGCCCCTAAATATGTCAGACTGGAGGTTTATTTTTATATGGGCCAGTCATTGTTTACATGTTTTAGTATTATTCAGGCACTCAGCTGAGATGCTTTTTCACAACTATTCTACGTAGTGCCCTTTTTTTACTTTGTTATTTAGGAAGTGGAAGACTTTGAGAATTGAACCATCCCCTAAATGTGTAATTTCTCCTTGGGTTCCCTTCTTGGCCATGTTAAAGCAGACAGCTGGCACTCGTGGTGGTGGTGGTGTTAGAAGATAGTTATGACTGTTCTTAAACTTTGACCGTGCTATCAGGGCCTAAAGGGGTTCAGAAAGTGACATCTCAAGTACCAACAAAGTATATAAAGGATGTATTTAATAAAGTTGCATAATCTATTTGAATGTTTTGTTACTTTGCAGCCATAGATATGTAATTGGATAAATTTTAATCTGTCTTTTCCCTTCTATCTCTTCATATCATATTTGCCTCAGTTTTTAACTGTATTTTGTAAACTTTGCCAATATAAGTACAAAGTTGTCTCTTTTACAAAGGTGTCGAAAAGAATATGAAAATAGAGATGTGGCTGCCAAAGGAGATGAAGCTGTGAGGAAAAGATTTCATGCATTTGTGCTGTTTTTGGCTGAACTTTATCTAAATCTAGAGGTAAAAAATATTTCTATCTAGTTTAATTGTTTCTTAAAATGTGTAATTCTGGCCCGACATTTTGTAAGGAAAGAGGCTGAAAAATTCATCTGTAGAGCATTATAATTTGATGAAAATAGAAAAAGTCAAAGTAAAACATCATTAGAGTCCTTCCTTATAATTTAACTTTAATTATTTTTAATTGTCATATGCTTACATTCTTATCAGAAAACCTCCAGGTGTCTTTCCACTAATTTGCAAACTATTTTTTTTAAGTGAACAATTGGATAAAATGCAGAGAGCATATTTTCAGTTACATTTCCAAAAATAAAGTTTATTTATGGCGATTTTTATTCTTTCATAATTTAACATTTCAGAGGAAGGGCCAGAAATGTTACTATAAAATTATTCAGCAATTAGAAATGGTAGTGAGTTTGTGCATCCTGTCCTGATCACTTTACTACCAGGGCACTTCATTTCAGTACAACAAGGTCATGAATCAAGCTTTTCTATTTCACTGGCATCAATTACAACATGTTATTGTAAATTTTTTATTGTCTCTTAGGTATAAAATTGTGGGATCTCTCATTCAATTAAATGTAACAGGTAGTTAAATGATGATGATGATTATGAATAAGTAAGAGAAAAGATTTTCCTGGCTTGCAGATGGCAGCTAAATATCTTGAACTGGGAAAAATGGCCTTCTTGAAGTAAAATTTTAGTATTGGTGTCTCCTTCCATTTTTAATAGTATGTATACATATTTCAGCATCAGCCTCTACATGACAATAACTGCACATTTTGGACAACAATCCCAACACTTTAGCTACCATTTTAATGAAAAGCAGAGTTGTCTGTTCTTGTCTGAGTATATCACACACATTCACAGAAGCATCTTTTTTTCATGAAAACCTGTGTAATGGGGTTTTTTTATTATCAATTCATGACTGTACCTATAATCCCTGTATAAGCCTTATATTCTGGTGAGTACTCTAAATCCAGTATTGTTTTGTTGATTAACTGAACTGAACTATGCCATTTTGACCTGAGTGAGAGATCTCCCTGGATTTTAAGACTTCTTCCCATTGACAGAAAGACCAATATTCAAATACCCATAGTGTAGAACATATTATTTCATACTTTTTACTTTTTTCCTAAGCCAAAAAAGGATGCACACAAAACTGAGAATTCTGTCCAAATTGAGAATTTTGTAATTATAATTATGAGAATTGCTTCTCAATAATCTGGAAAGTGCCCACTCAAGGAATACCTGTATTATATAATCAGCTGTTCAATTAATTTAGAAAAAAATTAGCTCCAGATATATAATAGTTTTAAGAACTCAGAATAGTTTTTAATTTTCGTTATTGGTTTTACAAACTTTCATGCAAATATTATTTTTTATATATTAATAGATTAAAGGAACTAAAGGACAGCTAACCCGAGCTGAGATTCTTCAAAGTGGGCTTCATGAGCTATTAAACACACTTTTTTCGAATCCTGTGGACAACAATTTAATCTGTGCAGTAAAGCTACTGAAAGTACGGTATTTTCATGGCTTGAGGTTTTATTCTTAACCTTTTTTTGAAAACAGTTGTGTTGATTACTAATAGTGCCTCTTTAGGTGTTGGTTAATATTAGTACTAATAGAAATACTGTGAGAGTTGGTGTGGTGTAGTGGTTAAGATATTGGACTAGAACTATCACACAAAGTCGTTTTGTGGGGGAATTTTATTTTTATTTATTTATTATTAGATTTATCTCCGCCCATCTCCTCCTAATGGGGGACTGGGTGGCTCACAAAATCCGTTAAAACAATAAATATATCCAAAATTACATAAAATGTGAAAACTATAAAAAGCGTTACCAAAAAAAGAAAAAGTGCTGATGGTTACCAGAGCTGCAGACGACAGGCCTCTAAGGGGCTAGCCATCCCCTTGGTGTCTTCTCTCCCCCCCCAGGCCAAGTGGCTTCCCTCCCCACCCCAGGCCAAGTGGCAGAGCCAGGTCTTCAGATCTCTCCAGAAGGCCAGGAGTGAAGGGGCCAATCTCACCTCTGGGGCCAAGATATTCCAAAGGGCAGGGGCTACAGCAGAGAAGGCCTGCCTTCTGGACCCCACTAATTGGAGCTCTTTTACTGAGGAGGTCCGAAGCATGCCTTCCCTGTGTGATTGGGTGGGATGGGTTGAAGTCATGGGGAAGAGGCGGTCCCTTAGGTAACCTGGTCCCATGCTATGTAGGGCTTTAAAGGTGATAACCAAAACCTTGAATTGGACCCAGAAGCAAACTGGAACCCAATGCAGCTCATGGAGCAACGGTGTTACGTGGGCCTTCTAGGGCTCCAAAAATAGCCTGTGCGGCTGCATTCTGAACCAGCTATAACTTCTGGGTACTCTTCAAGGGTAGCCCCATGTAGAGCGCATTGCAGTAGTGTGCAATGGGAGATAACAAGGGCATGAGTGACTGTTCGAAGGGCATCCCGATCCAGGAAAGGGTATAACTGATGAACAACCCGAAGTTGTACAAAGGCCCTCATGGCCACGGCTGCCACCTGCTCTTTGAGCAGGAGCCGTGAGTCCAGGAAGAACCCCAGATTACACACTGGGTCTGTTTGGGGCAGTGCTACCCCGTCCATCCAAAATAAGAGGAGAAAACAGAATGTTTGCCAACTTGAGCTCCTGTACAAAAGATGGGATATAAATAAATGTTTGGGGGCCTCCAGTAGATAAAGCATTCTATTTACCCTGGGGAAACAGGTTCAGATCTTTTGGCATAAATGGGGTTGGAGGTTGCATGTTGCCCATGGACAGCCTGTCCTGTTATAGGGTATTCTAGCACACAGTATGCTGATGATAATCCAGTTGTACGTCTCCGCCCCTGACTGCCCAAGTAAAGCTGCCCAAGTTCTGTTCCAGCATCTGGAAACTCAAGGGGTTTGGATGTGGAAGAATAGGCTTCAACTCAACCCTTCCAAGAATGAATGGCTGCAGGCATAATGAACAGAAGGAATAACCTTGAGGAACAGGAGGAAGAACCACAACCAAGACAGTGGTCAGACAAAAGAAACCTGAGTCTGGGTCAGACATGTAATTTGAGAAAGCATCTCAGAGAGGACCCTCCCTAGTTCTCACAAAAACAAAGTGGGGGGGAAGCATATTCAGACTTGCAAGATTCTGTTACCTTATAATAAAAGTAATATTAGCATTCATAACCATAGTTTCCTAATCTGGTCTACCTTGAAGAGCTGACAGGTCTAAGACCTTCTACCTTGAAGACCCACAGGTCTAAGAATTGGAGAGTTTACATCTTTGACTCTGAGCTGGGCTGCGCTGCCCTGTTCAGACTCAGTGTGCATCTCCTCAACTCACAACTCCTGCTGGAAGAACAGGTGACAGCTGTGGCCCGGGAGGCCTTTGCACAACTTTGTCTTATGCACCAGTTGCTCCTGTTCCTGGACGAGGAGGCCCTGCTCAGAGTCACTCACACCTTAGCCAACTCCCAATTGGATTATTGCAATGCATTCTACATGAGGCTGCCCTTGAAGAACACCTGGAAGCTTGTATTGGTCCAGAATACAGTGGCTCAGGTAGTTATGTGCATTTCTCTTGTTATGAGCGCACCTTTACTCCACAAGTTGCACTGGCTTCCAAAAGGCTTCCAGGTACCATTCAAGGTTCTGGCTATCACCTGTAAAGCCCTACAGTGGTGTAGGATTGCCTGCTCTAGGGTTCTCCCACATGCTCCCATAAGGCATAGTCTAGGTACCCTCATTGAGATCCTGCCATCTTATGGGATCTTAGAGGCGTGCCTTCTTGGTGGTGGTCCCTTACTTTTGAAACAAACTTCCCCCAATACCTGGCTGACTCCATCCCTGCAGACGTTTAGAAAGGCTGTTAAGACCTGGCTCTTTTCCTAGGCATTTGGATCCAGATGAGTGGAGTCCCAGTTGGCTGAGTTGCAGTATATTTTAGTCTGTTTGCCATTTTATTGCATCAGTTGGTTTTTAATGTATTGTGTTGCTTTTGAGGGGGGCAGGGTTTGTATTTGTTGTTAACTTTTGGTATGCCGCCCACGGTCACTTTGTTTGAGTCAGGCAGCCATATATGTTTTATAAATATATAAATAAAAGTAGTTTTTCAAGAAGCATAGACCCTAATAGAAAGGAGGTCAGAAAGCACAGTGCTTATCCAATTCTTAATGCAACCCACTTTTTAAAGCCAGTTTAGTCTAACAAATGTTGTCAGTCGATGCTTTTATTTGTTTCCTAGTTGACAGGATCAGTCCTTGAAGATGCATGGAAAGAAAAAGGAAAGACTTATATGGATGACATAATACAGAAAATTGAAAATGTTGTCTTGGATGCAAATTGCAGCAGGTAGTAAGAAAATTCAGTGGTTTCCCAGTTATATTATACTATAAAAACTGTTTCAAGACATTTCTTATATAGAATAAAAAGAGCAGTTCAGCTTAAAGCTGTCTTGCTCATTTCCTACAATAATTACCACTTTTTGTAGGAAAAATGGACTCTGCAGTGTGTGTTAAAATATTTGTCATATTTAAGTAAAACACCTTTCAATCAATTCAGTTGCCAGATTGCAGCTACAGTGGT